ACCCCTCTCTCCTCTCTGTCTCAACCCTTGTACCACTCAGTCCTGATTTCAAATTGCATAACGAGTTTGGGGGTGACTCTCAGCCAAAAGTTGTGTGATTTGCAATTCTACACGACATAGTTTGTTTTCAGATTTTCTTTTGTGTGTGTGGTTGGGCTGCCCAGGACCTTGACCAGGACTTTGCCCAGACCTGGCCCAGCCAGACCAGACGGGCCAGTCCGAGGCAACCCGGCGGCCCAGCTGCGAGCCGAGACCATGAAATAATTACAATTTTTAAAAATAATTACCCAGACCTGGCCCAGCCAGACCACACGGCCCAGCTGCGAGCCCAGACCATGAAATAATTACAATTTTTAAAAATAATTAATAATTGATCAATTAAAACGAATAACCGAAAAAACTGAAAGAAATTTAAAAAAAAGAAAAATAAAAAAAAGCAAGCAACAATTTCAAGACGATCTCATTTGGGAGTTTTTGGGATTTGGGAGATCGGTTTGGCAGTGTTGGGCTTTCCTGGCTGAACTGCCAAAAGGCCCAAAACCCTAAACCAAACCCAGAGACATGTTTGTTTCGGAAATTCGGAGCAAACAACCTTATTTGGTTATAGTACCCCCAAAAAAGGGGGAGATCAAATTTCTGTCAATTTTCAATAATTTCTGTCAATTTCCAATAATTTCAGTCAATTTTCAATAAGCCCACACTTACCAGCATTCGGTCTAGAAACCGAAGAGCTCTAAGCTGAGTATCATCCCGGAAGAATGGCGAGCCTGCAAGAGCACACAAGAGGTAAGAAGTTAAAGAAAGAAAAAAGCTCGTTTATTAGTATTATACTATTATTGTTACCTCTAAAATATCACGGTTGTGAGTGGGGTGCATTCCAACCAAAGGGAGAACTTTTCCGAGACAATGGAATGCTAGAGGCAGTGACTTGAGTGAGGGGACGAAGTAACAAAAGCTTTTCAAGCAAGGTAGCATCAATAATGTACATGTGCCTGCAGCTTGGATGAGTTTACTTATTTATATTGGACCTTCTTCTTTTTCCGCAGTGATTTTTCAGCTTCCCACTTCTCTGAAGACATGCCCTCTCTTTCTGCCTAAAACAAAATAATTATGTGTACGTTATATGTGCGAGGCACAAAGCCTCAATAAGCCCCACTGGGCCCTGTTATCAGCAAGGTCGGCTGCCCTAAGTGAAGGCAGGCCCGACCGAGGCCTATTTTCGACTACTACGCAACTGGGGAAGATTCAGGCAGTTGCGCAGCACCAGTTGGTTGGAAGCACCCAGGCCCAGGCTGCCTTTCATTGTATGTAACTGAGGCAGGCCCTGGGCCGGATACACAACATGGACCGAACAAAGGCTGAGGGCAGTTGGGCGCTAGTAACCACCACAGGCCCTGGGCCTGTTTCCTTTGGACTGAGGCTCAGCCTCGTGGGGCCTACCGGAAGCTTCTGGGCCAGGGCCCAGTACCGCATTACCGCACGCAGCAGCAGGCCACTTCGATATGGGGAAGGGCCTGCCCACGCATTGGACATTCGGGCACTGGATACATGCTGCGCTAACGCTGGCAAGCGCTCACGGGCTAATGGGCGAGCTTGTAGATGCAGGCAACAGCCATAGCCGAGCTGCGCTCCTGTATGCTGGATGGGGTGCATGGTGGTCTTTGGGTGCATGTGGCATCTGTGAGTTCGGGAACGAGGTTGTGAGTGATACGAGAGACATACCTGGTGCTTGAAGCGAACGGCATTGGCCGAGATCTGCTCATACTTCGTGGAGCTGTTGACGTCACCAGCGGCATTGTAGATAGGCTAGATAGGATCTGCCATTTGTAGTCTGGGCGCCGAGCGCCAGATAGGATGTCGACATTGGTTCTTTGTTGATGATGATCAGACTACTAGAACATTGTCACTTATGAGCTTTTGCTGTACTATTATTTGGTGGGACTCGTCGATATGTGTCTTTATTGGAGAAAAAGGCGTTAGCCCCAGGTCCCCCCGCCCCTTTAAACCACGAGCACCAAACCCAGGCGATCTCTAACGGTGCCCTGCCTTCTTCCCCCAAACATAACACATATGCGTTGTAAACACATAGGAAGGGTTCTATTCAAATATAACCAGCACTGTCATGCGGGGATCCCCAGGGCCCAACCCTGGGTTGGGGGGGACCCCCCGACCCCCGGCCTGGGGATACCCGCCCCCCGCCCCCTCAACATCACCCTCACCCCTGCCCCGCCCCCCCCACCCCCGCACCCCTGCTCACCCCCACCCTGTCTAACCACGCGTTCATTGAACGCGGGTTTTCCGCTCAATTTTTGAACGGAATGAACGCGCGTTCAATGAACGCGACCGAACGCGCCGCTCAATTCCGCAATTCATAAAATAAAATAAAATAAAAATAAAAATAAAAACACCGCAGCCTACAGCGTTCAGACGCGCAGTGATGGAGAGAGAGAGAGAGAGAGAGAGAGAGAGAGCACCATAGGAAGACAGAGAGAGAGAACCATAGCAAGAGAGAGAGAGAGAAAAAGAGGCGACCATAGCAAGCAAGAGAGAGGGCGTGGCATACCGTAACGGTACAGACCAGAACAAGAACCGACCTCTCTCACATAGTACAAGATAGCCCAGCGGAAGGCTAAAATACCAATGATCCGAACAATCAATGTCGCAATGCAGGCCAAATATACATCATCATCATCGCAAGGTGTGAAGGGCCTGGCACTACACACAGGGATAATGCGCCAGGTCCAGACCATACACAGACGAAGAGGGGGGGGTCAGACGAAGAAGAGGGGGGGTTGATGGGAATGTCGTCAACACCAAGTCTTTGGTACAGGTCCCAAATAATCCCTCGTCAAATGTCTCAATCCCAATGTCGAGTCTGGATCCAAATGTCGTCAAGTCCCAAAGTCCGTCAAGTCCCAAAGTCACAAATCTCTCTCTCTCTCGTTGTCTGCAGATACTGAGAAGTCAGGTAGCGAGGGTGAGGGAGAGATGGACTTAGAAGAGGAAGAAGAAGAACTCTCTCTCTCCCTCTCTCAGAGTCCGGTACTAACCTGTGAAGGCGGCGCCTTGTTGCAGGTACATCGAAGATGAAGCTGGAGCTATGGCACCACAGGTAAGTCTCCCTGGCCTCCACCAATCATCTCTCTCTCTCTCTCTCTCTCTCTCTGACGCTACTCTAGCTCCTAATGGCGCCCAGCGCTGAAGACTACTGCTAACGCTATTACTACTACTGCAGCGCTCCTCCAGAGTACTGCTGCCGAATCCTGAAGACTGCCTCCTGCCTCCTGCACATGAAGTGCCTGTGAACTGCCTGGGAAGTCCCTACGTACTCCCTCCTGACTACCTGCAGCCTGCAGGGCGGGCCAGTCTTATATAGTGCTGGCCCGTCCAGGAGGCTGCTCTTGCCAATGCCAAAACGTGCCAGCCCCTGGCGTTGAAGTTCAAACCTTGAAAACAGGCCCAAAATGGCCTGTGCTAAAACCCTGGTCTGGTGCCGAAGTTCCAGGGCAGGTCGACTTTATGAGGGCCTGAAAATGGCCCTCGTTTTCAGGCTTTTAGCCTGAAACGACACAGGGCCTGTAGGCCCTCGTTTTCAGGTTTTTAGGCTGAAACGACACAGGGCCTGTAGGGCCCTGAATTTCCGTCTGGTGTTCAAACGGTTTGCATAGCGCCCACCACCCCTGCACCCCTGCATCCCCACCCCCGGCCATCCCTGCCCCCTTACCAGCGGTGGGTGTGGCCACGGGGGTGGGGGTGTCTCCGAGGCGGCGTAAAATCATGTTTTTGGTTTTAGGCCAGGAGGGGAACCTCTCACTGCGCACCCCCAGTATATTTATTTATTTTTTTATTATTATTATTATTTTTTTTTTGGGGGGGGGGCCTCCGGAGCCAGGGTTCGAGGTGTCTACCCCCGGACCCCTGGTGGGGCCCCAAGGCCAGGGCTCGACAATGTTTTCTATTCAAATCGCCCTAATTTTCGAACACAATGCATATCCATTCTTTTCGCCTTTTTAAAATTTGTTGACTTTTTCAAAAACTGAAATGCAACGCATATGCGTTACATGTTCGGTTGAAGAAGGCGGGCAAAATTTTCGACCACACAGTCAGGTTGGATAAAATCAGAGTTGGAGAAGGCCCAGGGAAAAAGGCGGGCAAAATTGTTTACCATCCCCAATCCACCTACTTTTCACTCTGATTATCTGACCTCCTTCACCAAAGAAAAAACAAGAAAACATAAGCTGATGAAGGTTACATGCCACTGTGGGACATCCGTAACAATGGGAATGACACGGATAATTTTGTATTTTTATTTTTATTTTTTTGTGTGTGTGTGTGGCCCGATGGACCACGGATCAGATATTGAACTGTTCAGAAGAGAATCAACAGATGCTTCGCATTTAATCTATTTATACTATTTTTCAGCCAAATGGGCGAGAAAGGTAACCAGGAGGAACCGGACAATTAAAATTGACTGCTGCACAAACTTCAGAGGAATGACGGCCACAAAAAATGGTGAAAAGAACAAGGGAAAATTGCATATGTACCCCACTTCAAGATGTGACTACCGACTATACCCAGTCCCGGCGGCCAACTTGTACCGATGCCCAGACCCTGTCCAACTTGCGGTAATAACACCCTACTTTTCCCGTGCGGCAACTTATATACGTGTACCCAGTCACACAGGCACTTGGCTGCGGAGCTCAACATTATGCCCATGCCCAGCAGAAACGGGGCCAGGCAAAATTGGGTGTGCACATAGTTTGCCAGGGTATGTGCACAGTTTGAGCATTCCCATAGTTGGGTATAACTCTAGGCTACCGGAGAGGCCGGGGACAACTTGCAGGTGGCGGAATTAACCAGACTTCGCACGAACGCAGTTCTGATGGATAAGTATGGATGAGAAAGGTAATATTGAGAGAGGGATTGACACATACCACCGAACTCGATTGCACTCGGCCGCGCAGATGGGTCGAGATTTAAAATCCGCCGTAGTTCATATCCCAAATCGGATGCAATGCCATGGAAATCCCTCGATTGAAGCATCATCGTAGAGCTCGTAAACTGCATGCAAAGCCCAGGGACCATACACTGACTATGTGAGGCAACCCCAAGCAGGCAAGCACGAAGCGTTCATTAATCAAAAACACCCAAGGACACACCTTGTGTACTATGATCTCTCCCAATCAGGTCTTTCTTTTTCTCTCTCTTTGAAAAAGGGGGAAAAAAAGGGTATATTACTATATTCTTCACTCATATACCTCACTCTACCTAACCTCTTGGCTCAGTCCAGTTCTTGGATATCAACCAGCAGCAGAGACATAACGACAAGAGCGTTGGGTCAAAAAGAAAATAAAAAGTGCAAAAAAAAAAAAAGTGTTGAAAGTTGAAACATATGAAAATGAAACGCCGGCATTCTGCCACTTCCGAAAAAAAACACTCAACATAATTTAAAAAAAAGAAAAAGTTTTGCAGTTGTGCATTGGCTACGGAACAGAGAATTCACTCGACAAGTCGCAATTGCGCATGGCCTCACCGAGATCCTCAACATTTTCCCTTTTTTCCCCACACTTCTGTCCTTCATCGCCGAGACTCGAGAGAGGATCAAGCTCCGCTTAACCCCTGCTCAACCCCTACCTATTAAGAGCCCTAGTGGCCTTGGCATCCATGACCGGACAACACGTTGATACCGAGATTATGCAGAAACACAAAATGAGGCCGTCAAACATAAATCAGTTCTGAGTGAAACAAAGACCAAACCGAACCAAAAAAAAAAAAAAAAGACCCGACAAGGCAAAAAGATGATCAAAATCAGTCACGCAGACACAGAGGGATCCCCACCTCTCAAGCGGACTACTGAAACTGCAGACAAGATGTATTTTCACCACTGAGACTGTCTGTCTGACCTTTCAGAGCTGCAGAGTGGGATCCCAATGTCTCAAGCAGACTCCCAGAGCTGCCGACCGACCGACCAACCGACCGACCGACAGACAGACAGGCAGACAAACAGACACACATTGCAAAACTATCCCAACCCCAGCAAAACAACACCGACAATCATACAATAATAGAAGTTCATCATTCAAGAAACAGAAATGCGAAAGTCGTGAATGTTTGGAAACAAAAAGAAAGGTGTTTGGAAACAAAAAAAGAAATGCGTTCGGAAACAAAAAGAAAGGCGGTGGTCTGGAAAGTTTTGGAACATACAGAAATATCTTCACAGCCCCAGAAGAAAAAAAAAAACACCGAGAATCGTATGATATAGTTCACCATTCACAAACAGAAATCTTGGCAACAGGGAACAAACACAAATGCGACAGTGTTGAAAATTTTGAAACAAAACAAGAAACGTGGCGGTCTCAAAATTTTCGAAACAAAGAGAAATGCGACGGTCTCGAAAGTTTTGGAACATACATAGAGAAATCTTCACAGTTGGGAACAAACAACAGAAATGAGATGGTCTTGAAAGTTCGGGACAAAAAGAAACGCGGCAGCCTCGAAAGCTTCGAGGCCAAAAGAAATGCAATAGTCTCCACAGTTAAGAAACACACAGAAATCTTGACAGCCCCAGCAAAACCACAATGAGACTCGTACGATAGGGGGGGGAGAGTTGGGGGGCAGGGCGGGGGGGGGCGGGGGGGGGGGGGGGGGAGAGGGGAGGGGGGGGAGGGAGGAAGCAGAACATCCTCTCGCATGCATGTCGTGATCTTTTTGAAAGAACTCACCGTCTTTAGATTATTATTGCAGTTCACAAGACTGACACCTGCAAACATGCGATACACCAAGAGGCCGAGGCTGAACACATCTGCGGCTGGTGATGCGACACCCGCATTGCTTCGGGTGAGTTCCGGGGCGACATAGTCAAGGTTCGGCTGGAGAGGCAATCCGCCTGCTGGCACATCATATTCCTTTTATGTATCCACATGATATATCCACAAAGGGAAAGACGGGAGAGGTGCCAGGAACCACAATCCACACGCCCACATTAACAACAAACCCATCAACAGAAATTTTTCCCTCGTTGATTCAGATTATCATTACTTTTTTTTCTGGGAATAGGCAGCATCTTTCCCTTCTCTTATTTTTCTTTTTTTTTTCTTTTTTTTTTTCCACTTTCTTTCTTTCTTTCTTTCAACGCCCCCCACGTCCAACCACCCTCTACACCTTTTCCCGATGATATGAAGAACCAGAACTGCATCTAGAGGTCAGCAAGATCCATTTCCCAAGGACTCCTCTCTCTCTCTCTCTCTCTCTCTCTCTCTCTCTCTCTCTCTCTCTCTCTCTCTCTCTCTCTCTCTCTCTCTCTCTCTTTTTGTGTGTGTGTGTGTGTGTGCGTGTGTGTGTGTGTGTGTGTGTGTGTGTGTGTGTGTGTGTGTGCGAGTTGTGTGTGTGTGTGTGTGTGTGTGTGTGAGAGAGAGTGTGTGTGTGTGTGTGTGTGGAGCCTGTGCTCACTATATCACCACCAGAATCACATGGACCATGTATTTGCCAGGTGGCTGAATGGCGCACACCTAAAACTGATGATAATAATCAGGTCATGAGTTGAAGTACTCTTGCGCACTGCAAATCCAAAAGATAATAGCCTATCATAAAGGGAAGAAGCACACTGAACATTCCACCTTGGCTGCATATAAGTCCAAGAACAAGGGCCCATATGATATCATCGTAATCCATCACCACACGAGCAAAATACTTTCGACCATGGGCCTCACTCCACCACTCTCCACACGCACAAAAGACAAAAAAATACGGTGGTGTATCTTCCCATGTTCTAGCGGAAGATTCATTTCCATTTTGCACATTTGGTGAGTAGTGAAGAAAGGCCCAATATCTCCTCCTTCAGTGTCAAAAAACACAATTCCTACACTCTATCCATCACCACAGACAGAAGTCCAGATACAATGAATGTAGTCCTTGTCTAAAACCGAACGGTCTGGACAGAAGTGTCAATTTAGTGGTCACAACATTGGCAGCGAAAGTCCTCGTTGAGAAATGGAATCCCACCGAACAATCTCATCGATAGAAGGGACAAACCAGCACTGCAAAAGTAAAGAAGTCACATCAGCAACATACTCGATAACAGTCCGCTATCAGGGCAGAAAATTCGTGAATTTCCTTTCTTAGACAACAACAGTGAAGAAGAAGAAGAAGAAGAAGAAGAAGAAGAAGAAGAAGAAGAAGAAGAACTGAAAGCAGCGGCAGCAGCAGAAGAAGAAGCAGAAGCACGAAGACGGAGAAGACAAAGAAGACAAAGAAGACAAAGAAGACAAAGCAGAAGAAGACGAAGAAGACGAAGAAGACGAAGAAGACGAAGAAGACAAAGAAGACAAAGAAGAAACCAGTGAAGGAGATGACCGCGGACTGAAGATAAGCTCAGGGAGAACAAGAACAAGAACCGGAACACGAAYGAAGAGAAGAAGAAGAAGAACTGGAAGCAGYGGCAGCAGCAGMAGAAGAAGCAGAARCACRAAGACGAAGAAGACAAAGAAAACAAAGAAGACAAAGAAGCAGAAGCAGAAGAAGACGAAGAAGACGAAGAAGACGAAGAAGACGAAGAAGACAAAGAAGACAAAGAAGACAAAGAAGAAACCAGTGAAGGAGATGACCGCGGACTGAAGATAAGCTCAGGGAGAACAAGAACAAGAACCGGAACACGAACGAAGAGAAGAAGAAGAAGAACTGGAAGCAGCGGCAGCAGCAGAAGAAGAAGCAGAAACACAAAGACGAAGAAGACAAAGAAGACAAAGAAGACAAAGAAGACAAAGAAGACAAAGAAGCAGAAGCAGAAGCAGAAGAAAACGAAGAAGGCGAAGAAGAAACCAGCGAAGGAGATGACCGCGGACTGAAGATAAGCTCAGGGAGAACAAGAACAAGAACCGGAACACGAACTGGAACAAGCAATAGAACAAGCACTTGAACAAGAACTAGCAGCAGCAGCAGAAGAAGAAGAAGAAGAAGCAGAAGAAGAAGAAGAAGAAGAAGAAGAAGAAGAAGAAGAAGAAGAAGAAGAACCAGAAGAAGAGGCAGAAGCAGCAGCAGCAGAAGCACAAGAAGCAACAGAAGAAGAAGAAGCAAAAGCAGAAGCAGAAGCAGCAGCAGAAGTAGCAAGAGGCAGCAGCAGGAGCAGCAGAAAAAGAGGCAGAAGCAGCAGCAGAAAGAAGGAGCATAAGCAGCAGTAGAAGCAAAACCAGCGGCAGCAGCAGCAGAAAGGAGAAGCAGAAGCAGCAGTAGAAGCAAAACCAGCGGCAGCAGCGGCAGAAGAAGAATCGGCAGAAAGAAGAAGAAGAAGAAGAAGAAGAAGAAGAAGAAGAAGAAGAAGATGACTGCGGACTGACGATCAGTTCAGGGGTTCTCCAAATGTTGTTCACAGAGAAAACTATTGGTGTGTTGTGAAATTACACAGAAAAAAAAAAAGAGATCAGGATAACGTGCAAGTCCATTCAACCCTTTACTCAGAGCACGATCTACGTCTGCCTATAACTAAGAAACTACCGTCTTCACCCAAATACAATGCCAGGTCATTATCGCTGTATCTGGACTGAAGGTTGCCCCAAATACAGCTATAATGACCGGGCATTCTATTCTGGTGAAGACGGTAGCAGAAGTGTGGGCAAGGACAAGAAGATGATGGGTGTCATGGAAAAGCCGAGGAGGAAGGGATCGAAAGGTAGGTAGGTTGGAATCTGTACTACTTACAGGATAATAGAAGGCTGCTTGTGAGTCTGATTCATCTGCGATTTTGTCAGAAGATCTGACAAACCCAAAGCCACCCAACTTCCATGCTCCACCTGCAGTAATAAACACTGTCTAAATGATTCACGGCAAAATCAGCACCGACATCCAACTTCCAAGGTGCAAACGCACAAGCTATGAGCGAAAAAATAAACAGTCTGAAATTTTGTCTAAATGACTAGGCTACTCCCCGGATGGGCCAAATATTAAAAAAAAAAAAAAAAAAGGAATTTCGATTTGACCCTGAGGCAAAAGTCGTTCAGTTTATTTTTCTGCATCACATAATTTCATTTCATAATTATTGGATTCGTAGAGGCCAATGACCAGACACACAGTGATTGCTGGCAGCGGGCAGCGAATGGTTGTCCTGACAGGGTGGGGCCACCTACTAACCCATGTTCACGTCAATACTCCGGAAAGGGGAGAGGGAGAGGAGACTCAGGGCATACTCACACTAGCACTTTCCGAAATGCATCAGACTGCAATTTCGGCCATACGTGTATGCATCTCGCCGCAATGCCGTCCAGAAAACAAGTTAAAAAGTGTCTA